TCCAAAATTAATATTGTTTATGGCCTTCACACGCTTTACAGTATGCTCCTATTCTTTTTATGCCCAGCTACTAAGATTTCCCTTCAGTGGTAAAATTCAATATCTACAACGGGCACAGCAAAGACGTTTACTGTAAGTCTTTCTACGACAGACCAACGGACCACGAGTGCCCCTGTCGGTCAACCAATCATGTACCGCGGTACCCCGCATCACCTTGCGTCACGATGCGCGAAGCCATAGCCAATTACCTCCGGTATGTGTCTGTACCGCACACTTTGAATGGCTGCATCTGTACATTGGTTAGCATTGCTGTCTCACAGTGCTGGGGCCCTGAGTTCAATTTTGGACCTGGGGTGCTATCTGTGTGGAGTTTGTATGTTCTTCCTGTGTTCTTGTGAATTTCCTTTGGGTGCTCCTGTTTCCTCCTACAGTCGAAAAAACATATTGGTAGGTTAATTGGCTTCTGTGATCATTTGTCTTGTTGTGAGTGTGTGTTTGTCTTTGTCTATCTTTAGATTAATTGGCATCCCGTTCAGGGTGTACCCTGCCTTGTGCCTGTTGTTTGCTAGGACAGGCTTCAGCTCCCCCAAAAATTTCATTTGGAAAAAATGGTTAGAATGGATGGAATATCAAAGAGTTAAAAGTCTTGTTATTGAGAATTGTTGTTTGCCTACTAAACAAAGTTTCTCTGAAATTTTAAAATTTAATTGACCCATCCATAATAACATGTTCATGTTGTATCTAATTAACAGGAACATTCTCTAGTGATACTCTGATACATTTTTCCAAAAAGGAAGTTTACTTTTTCTGTCTTTAAAATGCTCCTTGAATGCATTTTGCTAGGCTTTTCTAAAGTTTTGTATTAGGAATTGTCACTCTTCTTACTAAATGTAGCAGCAAGTTTACTTTTTAAACATTTTTCCATATGTGCTTCATTATGATACTAAGGTTATTTATGTCATGAGATACAGAATACAGGGTCTCTACAAAGTAATGCTTTTTTAAATGAAGTTAATTGAAAGGGAGCTCAATGTTGAATTTACAGTTTATGTCATCCTTAATACAATTTTTTTCCAGAATGGAAGACCTTCAAAAGTTTGATCAAGACTTTTACCACTCAGGTTTTAATATTGATGGACAAGATAACTATACCTATGATGCTTCAGGCCAGCATTATCAAAATGAGTAAGAAACCAAGTTTACTTTTGTGCCAAGTATTTGTAAACAAGTATTTTAATAATAATACTACTACTACTACTACTACTACTACTACTACTAATAATAATAATAATAATAATAATAATAATAATAATAATAATAA